TTTGGTATTAAGGCTTATAACCACCTGCCATCCAGAATCAAGAGTATGAGTAATGATGTGAAACTATTTAAACTGAGGCTAAAAAGATTTTTTCTTTCAAATTCTTTTTATTCCTTAGAGGAATACTTTAACCATGTATGTAATTAAAATTGGTAATTGTACCCCTGATATGTTATAATTTTATATCATTACCTAAGTATTTTGTATCAATTATTGTTTTATAATTTTGATCATTTTATGCATTGTACATTAATATAAATCTTTTAACTGTCTTAATGACAAAAGTATGTATGTAGTTTTTGTATTTGCGTATTTTAATCTATTAGCTTGGGATAAAATCCATATCCACCGGTCAGCTGTACCATAAGGATTAACGGAATGTATAAATGTAAATAAATAAATAAATATAAAGTAACCCTCCATCCTGCAGTTTCACTGTAAACTAAAACATGTTTCGCATCTTCCAGTTGTCTATTCATGATGCAAAAACCTGTTACGGTTCCTCTTCTGCAGTCTTTCAGTTTCCATTTCTCCAACTTTTCTTTCATTCCTATTGTAACATTTGGTACACTCCTCTCTATTAGGTGACCAGATTTGGCGAATGAAAAAAATTGTCACAATGTGAACTATAATTGTCATCTATGTAAACTTATGTAAACGCCTCCTCCAGTCCTCCCACAAGAGATGGCGCCCCACAAAAACAAGACCGTAACTGTCACACAGTAATAAAGAACTGGTCATGAGCCCCATTGACTGACTGACCGTCAGTCGCAATGTGACTTTGACTTTGAAGTTAGTCAGTTGTAGGGCAATCTGTGATGACTTGGTAGGTGCAGTTAAAGAATCCCCACTGTTATAAGCCGTTACCAGGGAATGACTGGTGAAGTCAGAGCAAACTGAGAAGACTTAGCGTGTTCTGTAGTGATTTGCAAAGTGTGGAAATCAGCAATGGCACTACAGTTAAGTGTAGTCACGAGCAGTGTATTAAAGTGGTAAAAAAAATGAAATCTCCAATCCAAAACCCCATCAATAGTAACTCTAACATGTGATATTATTGTCTTCTGAGTTATTATCAGTGCACAGGATGTGCAAGGATTATGGTAATATCTAAAGACTGATAATGGTTTCTGTTGTAGCTCTATTTAACTGGAATGGCGATATTATCTGGACTCAAGAAATAACTGACAGAGTAAGCAGATTAATATTCACTTACCAATTGCGGAATATTAATGTGCTTACAATGCCAATATCTACACAATTATGATGAAGTGGAACCTGCATATTTGTTGAAAGATTTTATGCCCCTAAGCAAAACTGGCTGTTCCAGGAGATATTAACACTGCTCTTTTCCAACCTGCCTTTGTAATTTTAGCTCAGTTGGAATGGTGCTACCCCTGCTACACCTGTTTATACCTTAGGATAGTGTATGATGGTCACTGCAAGTTGTCCTCACAGATCGAAAGGCTGGTATAGGTATGGGAAACTACGTAACTGGGTCGGTTTGCATGAGACTCAGGGTAGTAATGCTGAATTAAGCGGTATTCTGGGAGTTGATCCAGTTTGATGTTGATTCACTTATATTTTCTCCAAACCATATTGTTTAATTTATTGTATGCTTATGCTTTAAATTACAATTTATTACTTGATCTGCAAACTAGGTCTTGGAGCATGCAAGGGTCACATCTGTACATTTCAGAATATGGTGAAAGACTCCTGTGGAAATGGCTTGCACACCCCACTCTGGGAATTAAAAAAAAATTCAAGTTCTCCACCGTGGGGACAAATACATGCCATCCCATCTCCCACAGGGAAGTTTGAAGGAGGTAAGTCATAATGGCCCTTGAATGGTCCCCATTCACAGGCAATTATAACGAGTTTTGACCTGGCTTTTTCACTGACTTTTCCAGATAAAAGAGGGGCTAGGATTGATCAGAGCCAATATCCATACAATTTAAGGCACGAATAGTCATGTAAATTATGCTGCAGTAAGAGAACATCCTTTATAGCTTTAATGATAAACTTATTTTGTGCATCTGTCCACTGGGTATTCAGCAAAGGAAAATATTCATTCAACACTGGGATTATTACCGGGAACGAAAAAAAAATTGTTGTAGTTTAAGC